GGAGCTCCCAGGAAAACAACCTTCCAGAATATTTTCCCTTCTTCTCTAACTGCACACAACTTCTTCTTTATCTTGACTAAATAAAAATCTGCCTTCCTGGACCCTTCCTGGTCCTCCCACCTCCACTGCCCGGACTAGGTCTCACCCTCTTCTAATGCGTCTGCCATTATCTTCTTCACGCTCCTCTGCTTAAATATCCTTTAAGTATTTTTTTAGGTCACATTCCCATGACGTGTCGCCAAACCGATCACCTTTTCTGGCTTGTTATGGTCCTTCCTAACGCATAAACCTGAATTCAGTTAAATTCTGCTCAGAAAACATTCCTGAAGTCTGCTGAGAGGGCAGCAGTGAGTATGCCTGGAGAATTGTGAGCGTGGCTCTGGAGAAGCCGCCTGTGGCCAAGTCCCGCCTCTTTCTCTGGCTGCCTGTGCAGTGCTGGCCTTCAGCTTTCTCGTTGGTAACACCAGCACGTACCACAAAGGGCTGTTACCAGGCCCAGCGGAGGGAGTGAACGTAAAGGGCCTAAGATCTGTGCTAATACCCGGCAGACATTCAACAGATGTTTGCTCTTTTTTGTTGTTGTTTAAAAATATGTGGTATGAAAGGTTGATGATTACCGGAACTGAGTGATGCGTAGACATGCATTTGTTAAACTTTTAAATTTTTATGTTCGAAATTTTCTATAACAAAATTGAATTTTAAAATGCAATATTATACACATACAGTGGAATGGTATTCATCCTTGAAAAGAAAGGGAATTCTCACTCATACTATAACAGGAATGAACCTTGAGGACAGTACACTAATTGACTAAGCCGGTCACAAAAAGAAAAATACTGGGTAATTCCACTGATAGGAGGTCCCTGGAGTGGTGGTTGCCAGGGACTGGGGGAGGGGGAACTTGGAGTTATTGTTTAATGGGGACAGTTTCAGTTTTGCAGGATAAAGAGCTCTGGAGAAGGGTGGTGGTGATGGTTCTATAGCAGTGTGAATGTACTTAATGCCACTGAGCTGTACACTTAAAAATGGTTAAGATGGTACATTTTGTCTTATGTGTACTTCACCACAATTAAAATTTAAAAATTAATTTTTAAGGAATAAATCTAATACAATTAATTTATTAAGTGGGATACATCTAATTAATATCTGGGGATACAAAAGTGAACAAGACAGTTCCTGCCGCTACTCAGTTCTCAGTAAACAGGAGAGAGAGACTTACAAACCAAGGGTTTCAGTGCAGCATTAGGAAGAGAAGGTAGAGATGCCTAAGTACGGAGGTTGCTCAGCAGAGAGGGGTGCGTGGGGGACGGGGGTGGGGGTGGGGGTGGGGGCAAATGTGTCTCCTGTTCTAGATGCTCCCCGGCCCCCTCCAAGCGCATTCGCTGATTTAATGGCGGCATTCACTTGTGCTCATTTTGAAAGCCCTTTGGTCCTTGTTTTCACATGGAGTCGCTAATTTCCTGGGCTCTGGCGTCAGAGTGTCTGGGGTCAAATCTGTGACTTGCGACTTATTTACCTCTTTGAGCCTCAGAATCCTAAGCTACACTGGGCCGATGACAGGACCTACCTCATGAAGTTGTGAAGCTCAAACGAGGTACCCTTTGCAAAGCATTCCTCCGTGCTGGGCATGTTAAGCGCTCAGACGATCCCCTTTTCTCGTGCCCAGACCTCACACCTATCTTCAACCCCACCTCCAACAAGCCTGTCACTAGCAACCGAATGGCCCTTTCATTGGTCCCTACATCCTTCCATCTCCCCTTGGGTACACACTGGCGAGTGACTGGGTGCTGGGCGGGACGAGACCTCGGGACCCCAAGGCGAGACGTAAGGGGTAATAAAGAAGTCATATGCGCTTTGAAAGGAAGAGGCAAGGGCAGCCTGCCCAACTACTGGGGAAGGAAAGGTTTCCGACCCGCCCGGTCCCGCGGGACAGACGCTGTTCCGCCTCGCGCCCACTTGTTTGAGTCTACAGCCCCACCTGGCGGCGTCACGGCCACACAGCGTCCAGCCTGCCGCGACCCTGTCACTCTGTCCCTGTATTTTTGGAAAGCATCTGTCCATGATTGCAAAACTAAACACAATACCTAATTCACTTTCTCTATGGCAAACTACTACCCCTGGGAAAATTATGATCATTCCCGCCCTAACCAAATTTCCATCTGGGCGGAGCGTTATTTTCTGAAGGGGACATTCCATCTCAGCGACCCGAATCCCACACACGTCCTAACCCCCGAAGCTGTAGCAAGTGCCCATTTCTTCAGGGTGACACCCGCACAGGTCGCCTGCGGCTCTCGGCTCCCCTCCACCTCCCCTCCTGCCCCCGCTGCAGGCAGACCCTGCGGCTCGCTCTCCCTCCACCGCCTGCCTCGGGTCCACGCACCTGCCGGGCCCTCCGGGGATGGGCTTCCCTCCCCTCCCGTCACCCCGAGCTGCACCGAAATGCCACCCATCTAAGGAAGCCCTTCACGCTGCGCGCTCCCGACGGCAAAACCACCACGAAACGTTTCATCTCCCGCATAGCAGCAGGAAGTACTTTGCTCTTTTGCTGTCTGTCTCCATTTCACGTTTCCTCGGTGGGCTGGCTCCGCTTTAGGGGCCGCAACTAGCGCCTCGGTCCCGAGAGAGGAACTCCACAACGATTCGTTGAGTGAATTGGTTAATTTTATTTTTTACAGCTGGGTTCCAACGCCGGCTCAGCAGCCCCCGCCCTTGCCCGTCGCCGACAAGGACCAGGGAACAAGAGGAACAAGATGCACGTGCTCTCCTGAAGCAGTTATTTGGTCGGAAGGACTGAATTCTGGAGTGAACTGTCTTGGAGGTGACTGTTGGCTTCATTATTAACCCACTGAAGCGGGGCTCCCTGCACCAACCAGACTGGGGCTCGGCTCAGCTGGGAAGGGATTCCCATCATTTTTTATGTGTTTTTTTTTATTAAGGTATCCTTCATATACACTCTTATGAAGATTTCACAAGAAAAAGAATGTGGTTATTACATTCACCCTTATTATCGAGTCCCCCGCCCATACCCCAATGCAGTCACTGTCCATCAGTGTAGTAAGATGTCACAGAGTCCCTATTTGTCTTCTCTGAGCTACACTGTCTTCCCCGTGACCCCGCACATGCCCTGTGCACCAATCATGATACCCCACAATCCCCTTCTCCCTCCCCCACCTCTCCCCCTTGGTAACCACCAGTCCCTTCTTGGAGTCTGTGAGTCCGCTTTTATCTATTTTGTTCCTTCAATTTTGCTTCCTTGTTATACTCCACAAATGAGGGAAATCATTTGGTATTTGTCTTGCCAATGGGTTTCAGCCCCCGGCAAGTTCGCTATGGATTCAATGTGACCAAAGAAATTGACAGTAAAACGTGTTCTTTGTGGTGAAAGGGTTTATTACCGGGCTTGTTCTCCAGGTAGTGGAGCATTAACGTCTCTACCTCCACCCAGAGCTCTGGACCGAGTTCTCTATATAGCGCAATAATAGCTTATTGCCTAAAGGTGTGGAAGCGGTAGCCTAGCAACAAGCCAGTTACATCATCAGGTGGTTTAAGTTCAGTGAGGATCCTGGCCATAGGAACCCCAACTTCCCCACAGAATTTGTCTTTCTCTGCTTAACTTATTTCACTGAGCATAATAGCCTCTAGCTCCATCTATGTTGTTGCAAATGGTAGGATTTGTTTCTTTCCTATGGCTGAATAGTATTCCATTGTGTATATGTACCATATCTTCTTTATCCATTCATCTACTGATGGACACCTAGGTTGCTTCCATATCTTGGCTATTGTAAATAGTGCTGCGATAAACATTGGGGTGCATATGTCTTTTTGAATCAGGGATCTTGTTTTCTTTGCGTAAATACCAAGGAATGTAATAATGGGTAAAATTGTATTTCGATTTTTAGTTTCTTGAGGAACCTCCATACTGCTTTCCACAATGGTTGAACTGGCTTACATTCCCACCAGCAGTGTAGGAGGGTTCCTCTTTCTCCACAACCTCGCCAGCATTTGTTGTTCCTAGTCTTTTCGATGTTGGCCATCCTAACTGGTGTGACGTGATATCTCATTATGGTTTTCATTTGCATTTCCCTGATAATTAGCCATGTGGAGCATCTTTTCATGTGCCTGTTGGCCATCTGAATTTCTTCTTTGGAGAAGTGTCTGATCATATCTTCTGCCCATTTTTAAATAGGGTTATTTGCTTTTTGGGTGTTGAGGCTTGTGAGTTCTTTATATATTTTAGATGTTAACCCCTTGTCAGATATGTCATTTACAAATATATTCTCCCATACTGTAGGATGACTTTTTGTTCTGCTGATGGTGTCCTTTGCTGTATGGAAGTTTTTTAGCTTGATGTAGTTCCATTTGTTTATTTTTTATTTTGTTTCTGTTGCCCGAGAAGATGCATTCAGGAAAAAGTTGCTTATGTTCATATTCAAAATATTTTTGCCTATGTTTTCTTCTAAGAGTTTCATGGTTTCATGACTTACATTCGGGTCTTCGATCCATTTTGAGTTTACTTTTCTGTATGGAGTTAGACAATAATCCAGTTTCATTCTCTTACATGTAGCTGCCCAGTCAGAGTGGTTTCTTGAGGAAGAAACTTTGGTTTCTTGGTCTTATTCAGGAGATGAGCCTTCACTTCACAGCAGTCAGAGAACAATATGAGAAAAACCTTTTCCAGGCGTGTCAGCTGTCACTGGTCCCTAACCGGGGTGGTGGTGGTGGTGGTGGTGGTGGTGGTGTGTGTGTGTGTGTGTGTGTGTGTGTGTGTGTGCGCGCGCGCCTGTGTGTGCCGGTGCCCTGACTCCCACGCCCTCTGTGCAGGGTGAGGGGAGGGAGGATGTGTTGATATGCACACTTCTCAGGAATGTGTTCCTGCTTAGGAGACTAAACGTGCCCAAAGGAAGGTGCAAGACCAGTGGATAAAAGCCTCCTGTTGTGTTTACACTATTTTCAAATAGAACTTTTAAATAAAGAATAAAGAGGCCATTTAATTTCTGAGAACGGGCTTCTAGAACAGCGACTACCAGCAGATGTCGCCATCCTACAAGACATGAAGTGCAGGGGACCCATGGTAAACCTGGGGCAGGGTGGGGGGAGGGTAACCGGAAGAGGCCGGCGCTCCAGCAAGGGGGTGGGCAATGGCTTTAGGGCCTTTCATATCCTGGGGTTTATTGGGGGAAATGAGCTCAGGTCTGGTCTGCTAACTTCCTGAGTCAGGATTCACCTTTTAGTTTAGTTAGTGTAGTTTTATTTTGTTTTATTGGGATATGCTTACCATTTGTTTTCTTGGCAGTGGCCATAACACTTTCTCCGACGTGATCAGCACCAAAGCTTGCTGGGCACGGACTTGGGACTGTTGGGTGCCGGGACTTTCCCCGGAGCCTGCTCAGACCAGCTGTGTGGTCACCTGCCCTTCGTGGCCTGTGGATCCGTCCTGGAGCTCTCAGGTTATTCTCGCCCCTGGCCTCCCTGTCACTGCTGCTATCTGGGGGCTTGGACGCGCCCTGTTGCACTAGGTGGCCCTGTCTTCCATCACATGTGAGGTCTTCCCTGAATTGCTTCCTGCTGCATGCAGGGCGGGTCCTTCCCTAGGGCAGGCTCTCTGGAATCTGGAGGAAGCCGGCTTGTGGTCTGGCAGCCCTCCAGACCTCATGGTTGACCATTTGTCCTGCGTGTTTGACAATTTATAGAACATACATATCATTGATCAATGTCCAGGGAGACAGGCCTGGGTGCTGGTGGCCACAGCCTATTCCTAGTACCGTCCTTGGGCCAGGGGACGGAGGACAGCTCTGCCCCACCCATCTGTCCCTAACACCCTCTGTGTTAAACCATCTCATAAACTCCCCAATACCCCCAGGCTTTCCTGGCTTCCCTCTGCATCCGGGACAATTGCACCAAAGTCTGGTCCCTTTCTGCCTTCAGGACCAGCCCATCTGCCTGTGCCAGCAGAGGGGCCCCTGCAGGGGGCGATCTGGGGGACCGAGGTTTCTGGGCCCCTAACTCTCTCACCCCGTCTGGTAGATCCGATCTCCATCCCCCTGAAAAACTGCACACTGTGGCGGGGGACGGGGGGTAAGGGTGCCACTTAATGTTCTCTGCCCAGGGCTCAGCAGCCCCAGGGTGGCCTTCCCTGGTGGCCTCATGGCAGGCGTTGGGTGATGCAGATGTGCCAGGCAGGCCGTCAAAGAGCAGCCCGGGCTCTCCAACCCCATCCTCCCTGTGTCAGTGGGGGTGGGAATAGGCCCAGAAAGAACTGCATCCCACCCTAACCCTAACCCTAACCCCACCTCTAACCCCTTCATGAGCTCATCTCTCCAGCTTATAATGCTTCCATGGTTAGGTTTAAAACAAAACCAGATAGACAGTACCCTGTGGCTGTCTGCGTTTCCTACACCTCATCCGCTCAGGATCATAGAATTACCGATATTAAGGATGGACCAGATTTCTTATGCCTCCTGATAGAGCAAAGTAGCTTTGAGCCTGAAGGAAAGTTATCATCCCCTTTAAAATGCTGTTTAATGGGCAGAGACATCAGGGGTCCTTGAAGAGGCGATAAAGTTACCGACAGGCTGTGAGCGTGTGCCGCTGGGGGTCATCCCAGCAGCTGCATTCCTTGTTCTACCCCCAGCTCCCCCTTCCCTCCTCTCACACCGGCTCCAGCCCTGCCCCCACCCCCACCTGCACATGCAATTGCAGGCGTGGCTTAGAGGACCTGCAGGCTCACACCCAGTGTGAGAGACACCTTCTGGAAGAGAGAAGTTTGCAGCAAGAATATCTGTTCCTGACTGTCAGTCCATGTCCCCAACCAGAGAAATGAGTTCTGCTTGGCACAGCGTGAGTGTGCGATGGATGGAGGGGGAAGGAAGGAGGGAGGGTCGGGGGGAGGGTGGGGGGGAGAGAGCTGATTCTCTGCTCCCTGCCTTGCAGCTCAGAATGCCATCCTCAGGAAGGAAGGTCCTGTTCATTTCATGTTGAATTCTAGAATTTTTAGGAACTCAGAAGGGCCCCTGGACTATCTAGTACAGAAAAGAGGCTGAATGTCTGAGGGGAGGACATCACAAGTCACATAGTTTACTTGAAAATCGATCACACAAATTTGAAGTTGAAGTATTTTAAACCACTTTGGCTGATGAGATTAACAGGATGTTAACAAGTTGTAGGACAATTCTCCACTTCTAAGATCTAGGCATTACTCTTAAAGTTGTTAAAATGCAAACATCAGCAGTCTTTCGAAAGCGAAGTGGAGGCCTATTGTGCATGCCCTTCTTTTATGAACATGTTGGGAAGTCGCTTGTGTTTTGTTATGACACATGAGACTGTTCTTTTGGCAAATATAAAGTGAATGGACACTGGGTCCCGGGCCCATGCTGGTCACGGGGCAAAAGTGTGGCCCTGGCTCTCACGCCGGGGCTTCTGCCCCCAGAGAGCCCAGAGCAGGGAAATTGGTACCAAGCAAAGGGGTGGGGTCCCTGGACACTTCAGTCAAGTGAGGTGACCATCAGACCTCCTCAGTGCCATGTTTCTGAAATTAAATAGTTGGGATCTAAATGTAGGACTTGGAGGTCCTCCCTCTTCAGCTTCATCCGGGGGCTTTCCACTAGCCTTCCTCTGGGGCAACCCCGTTTCTGGACCATGCTCTCACTATGTCACGTCTTCCCTAGGAGCATGGCGAAGGTACCAGACACCTGCTTCATGGCTTGTCCCACGCAAACGTGAATCCACCTTTTCATGCTGTCATCCAGTCATGTTTCTCCATCTTCCTCCCAAAGAAATCCTGAAAGACATTGAAAATGATTACGTTAAAAAGCAAAAAACAAAAAAAGTGCAATAGATGGTGTTTGTAACAAGCCTCCCCACTTCCTGTCGGTGGACGTCCAGTAGGTTGTCCATCCTGTTGGGCCTCAGGTGGTGCATCTGGAATATGGGATAATGGTTCCTCTGGGTGGGAATTGATTGAGGAAATGGGTGAAGTGTCCAGAATGCAGAAAACACTCATTAAATGACAGCTCCTTTCTTGCCCCATAGTAAGGAGAGCCCTGGCCCACAGCAGCAAGGAGTCAGGGCCAGTAAAACCTCTGCCCCTCACCAGCTGTGATCAGGGCATCCCCAAATCTCCAAGAGCCTCAGCGCCCCATCCAAGAGCTGAAGGTGCCACTTTCCAGGATTCTGAGATTGATATTGTCTCTGTGTCCTGCTGATTTCCCATCTAGTAACCCTTCAGAAAAGGGCTTGAGGACAGTGTGCAAAACTCAGTCTCCTGACTGTCACTGTGGTCCAGCCTTCTGCTTTTCATCCATCCCAGGGTTTGCCAAAGATAAATGGTGATGATACTAGGAAACTAGCCTTTTCCAGGTCCCGCTCATCTCTGCCTCCCCATTACTCGTTGGCATTGCTGACAGCTGTGCTCCCGACGGGTGCATGTTCCAAGCAGCATGCCCGGGCCAGAGATGCTCTTTCTCCAGGCTCTGCCCTCAGCGCCAGCCCCATCTGGGTCATGTAGCCCATCCTTGGGTTCATTCTTTCCTTGAAGAGAGGAAAAGAAGCAAAATAGAGGAGTAGTGAGTGGCTCTTTGCTTTCTTCCTGGATTTTAACATTTCCCCCAAACCATTCTTTTCTTTATGAATGAAGCTGAAAAAATGTTTCCTAGAACCTATCTTCCTTGTAATGTTTTGCCGGGTAAGACGACAAGATATATGAAGTCCATGCTGTCTGTGTCCAACGGAGAGCACTTTTACAAATGGTTCAGGGCAGCCAGCAGCGTGTCTGGGCTCAGCAGGAACAGCCTCCGGGGGCTTCTAGCCAGAGCAGGTGACGAAGCCATCACATGGGGTTTCCTCTGAGCCCCGTCTGGCTCCAGGTCTCGGCTCCCTCCTTCCCATCTCGTTCGCTCTGACTTGTTTTTCCTGTGTATTTTTAGTTAATCAATAAGTATAGAAATATTTAAGTTACAGGAAAACGTTTAATTTGCCACCTTGTGCAACAACATCTGTCTCTTGGTCCCTAATGTGAATCTGCTTTTGTGGAGAGCTGGGGATGGTCCCTCCAGAGCAAAGCCATTCAAAGCAGAAAGCCGAACAGTCAAAGCGATTGAAGCGGGTAGATTTCGCCACACTGTCCTGAGTTTACGGTTTCATTTAAAAAGGCATTTTTTCCCTACAGTCTTAGGGAAGATGCAGAGATGCATGAAACCACAGGGTGTATTTTTGAAAATAAAATACTGTGTAGAATAACCAAAATGTAAAAGCAAGTTATATTTTTGTTTTTTCATTTGTCCAACTTCACTGTATTAAAATATCCTTCTCTTAAAGTTCTGAGTTGTTGCATTCCTGTGTGCTTTTAAATTAACTAGTTTTAAATTCACTCTTTATTTTTATGCAAGTGGCTTTCATCAAAAATTAACTTTCCTTCCTTTAGGCCTCCAGTGAAGCCCTTCTCTGTATATGGGTGGGCCCCTCATGTCAGTCTACACAGGACTGGCTCATTTCAAAGTGGCATTGTTTTTCAATATGGACTTTAACAAACACATTGTGGAGTTATATATATTCTCATCCAGTGGGACTTTGGAGGCAATTGAGAAAATATTGAACCCCAAGTTAACAATGTCCTTTGGGTCCATTGGAAGGGGTTAATACAATCTGTGTTAATCTCAGATATCTCTTCTGGTGGATTTCTTCCGTGTCTTTCTCACACTGCAGGACCCTTTTTAAGTTTCTCATTCTACCTTGATCCGCCTACAGGGAACAGATAGATTATCTCAAAATCCAGTGTGAAAATTAGAATCTGAGAGGCATTTGCTGGTGCAGAGGAAGGAGTTCACAAAGAACATCTCAGGGAGAGGAGACGGACACAGACCATTCACCTCCAGTGACCTTGGGTGGTATTCAAGGTGGACCCATGTGGGGATGACACGGGGACAGCGTCACCTGCAGGCGGGATAGCCTTGGTGAGCGTCCCCTGTGGAGCTGTAGCCAATGACCGTCTTGGATGAATGGACCTGGTGGGCCATGCCCTGGCGGTCTTGACACCTCGGTGAGGAAGCATGACTTTTTTGTTGTCTGTGTGTGTGTCTGTTCACAGGTGGTGTGGAAATTTCTGATGCACGGTCTGCTTATGGAATTGTGGAACTGGAACGTTATAGAGACCTTGGTTCTGATGGTCTCCACACTTAGAATTTAAGCTCTCAAGTGGACAAGAGAAAATACTTTTTTTGAACCAAGGAATTTGTTATGATGAAATCCTCAATATGCAATTGTTATAATAGAACTTCAAAGAGATTAATTTTCTCAAAGTTACATCCCACTAGGCTGGGATAGAAATCCATGTTTTCTGGCCCCAAAGGTTGAGCTCTGACCACTGGTCACATTTCTCATGTGCCCCCTACAGCTTACCTTGGCCAAGTTTTCTCAGGACGTTACATCTGATAGTTTTAGAAGGACAGAGTGGTGAGGAGTGAGGTTTTGGAATGGGTGGCTTGCTTCTGAAGCATACCCATTTTTTCCGGACTTCATCATTGTGCAGACAGAGGCAGCACCCCCTACTGGACCAGTCTGGCCACAGAAGCATTTGTTTACAATGCCTTCCTCTCCTTCCAGAGTTGCTGCAGGACCCCTGACTCATTCAGACTGGCCAGGAAATGGCAGTGAGGTCCGGTCTCCTGAATCCACTGGATCAGTCCCAGGTGGAGGCAAAGATCTCACACTTGGGTGCCAACCCTCCAGGACTTTCATCTCTGCTCCAAGAAATCTTGACATTTTCAAAAATTGAAAAATCAATTGGAATGGAGCCGGCTCTTTTCAAGGGGATTATTAATGGCTCTGGAACTGACTAATCATATTTGCACAACTTTTCAATAAATAGCTTCCACAACAGCTAGGGTGGAAAAGAAAGCATGCACCCCATCCAGTCAGGACAAGCTTGAAGTATTGATTCTGCCACCTTCCTCTCCATTGCCCTACTTTTGAAACAAATATAGTACTACACCAGGGTGGCTGATCATTGTCAAACTCCCGTGTCACCAGGTTCCAGCTCTGTTTTGCTGGAAAAAGCACATTGCCTCTGTTGGCTGAAATAACTTCCAAGGTTTCCTGCAGCCGAGGCTGTAAATAGCTGAATCGTGGAGAAAGGCAGCGAGGAAAGGACCGCCTGGTTGGCGCAGGCATCCCAGGTAGCTCTTCCTGGTCAGTTGCTGCTCGGATTGGCTGCCCTACACCTCAGTAGGAGCGGTCCAGTCCTCCCAGAGCCTGTAAACAACGCATTCGGCTCTGGAGGCGGGGAGTGGGTGCAGACGAGCCTTCTCTAGTTGGAGCGGCGTCAAAGACTTTATCAAGCTTCCTTCTGTTTTAGACTCTGTCCTGTCAGTGGGGAAGACGAGGAGACCATGGGAGATATTCCAGAGGCCCCTGTCTTACAGTCTCCACTCCTGGGTGTGCTGTTCCACTGACTTAAAAACATTCTTGGTTCTTACCCATTGTGACGGAAGCAATGACTGCTTGGTGACAGGCAGACACGGGTTTTCTTCTCTCCCTTAATTGTTTCAAAATGTGATATTTCAACACAAATTAACTGACTAATTGTGCAACACCCTCCCCCCCCTCACTTTTAGCTGCTTTAATGATGAATACCACCTGATTTGCTTATTCTTTTCCTTTTCCAAGTGTTTTGATCCCCCATCTGACTGACTACATTGTCACCTGAATGCTTGGGACAAAGGGTGATCTCTAAGGCCTATGTGACACCTTCCAAATATTGAAATAGATATGGTAGAAGGCCAAGGGTATGGATGTTGTTGGCAGACAGATATATGTTCATTTATTCACTCAACAAACGTTCATTGAGGGCCTGCTAAGTGCCGGGCATTGTGTTGCCTCAATATTAGCTGTGCCACTCACCCAAATTCAACCGTGGGGTAAGTTTGGACTAGTTCCCTCAGGCCCCAGGCCACGACTGCCTCACCAGCAACCATGTAGACAATGACGCATCCACGTTTCCATGGAGATCAAAGAGCCAGCATTTGGCAGTGCTCAACAATTTTTTGGTTTTGTTTTCCTTTGGTTGCAAACACAGGGAAGGCAATTTGGGAATATAACACAGTCCTCAATTTGTTAGGCAAATGAATCCTGCGGAGACACAGCCACTCTCTTAACTTATCACTGTGTAAAAAGCAAGGCCTCTGACCTCGCTCCGTATCTCTGAGAAGTTGACTTTACCTGGGCAAACACTGGGTATCAAAGAAGCAAATAGGAGAGACAAAAAGTTCGGTTATTCCAGGTGGGAGTTCATTAGACTTAACCAAAGCCGTCAAATGGCGTCTCAGTTGTCAAGTTGTAGTATAACACGCTGGGAGTATTGGATTAGAGACCAGGAGGCTTGGTGCTGACCCAGCCAGGGTCACTGCTTGCTTGTGACTTTGGACTTAACCTCTGTCTCGGACCAAATTTCCCTTTATCTGAATAAGGGGGAGTTTAGCGCTGGAGGGTCTGGACGCCTCTCTTCCCTCCCTCCCTTCCTCCCTCCCCCATTCGGAAACATCCCCTAGCACCTCCCCCTGGGTCAGGCCCCCGCTGGACAGGAGGGCGCTGAGATCCGTAAGGAAGGCCCACACCCAGGGAGCGCCCCCACATGTGGAAGCCGGCATCCTCATTTCCATTCTGGTTGTAGCAAACGAAGCTCCCCCAAATGGCACAGATGTTCTATGAACTCAAACCAAGAATCTTGTTGGTATTTTTCTTACCGTTTTCAGTGTTACTCTAGAAAGAGAGGAGGAGGGAGATTCAGCTCATCAGAAAGGACTTCGTTGGCAGGAGTCATCACAGACACAGCTGGGGTCTCCGGACTGGCCGGGCAGCTGTTGCCAGGAGAGGTGGTCGGCACCTGCTACAGACCTATGGTTGGGATTATCTGATTATCTCATGATCCACTTTTGGGCACTAAATGATGTTTTGAAACGTTTGTCTCAGGTAACTTCTTGATCTTATACTGTTAGATACATTCTGTCACTCAATACCCGGAGTCTAGATTCAGACAATAGCCTTTTTTATTCTTTTTTTTAAAATTATGGTAAAATACACATACCATAAAATTTACCATTTTAACCACTTTCCAGGGCACAGCTCAGCGGCGTTAAACACTTCACACTGCCGTGCAGCCACCATGCCACTTGCCTCCACGACGTGACTGCTCCGTGACTTCTGGAGGGGATCACACAGTATCCGTTCTATACAACACCAGCCTTATTCTCTCTGCCACTGGGGACAAAGCCACTCACAGGGAAGGAATAACTCCATGTGGAGGGCTTCACACCTACATTATCCCAAACAGTATAATCCTAAAAGACATTCTGGGGAGGGCAGGCTGTTACTATGGCGATTCTGCTCAGGGGTTGCCTCTGCCCGGGTGGGAGGAAGGGATTATGGGTAACTTTGGAACTGCAAAGCCTCTCCGTGGTGACTGGGCCTCTAGAGGGGTCTCCTTCCAATCCTCAAACTTATCCTGTCATCTCTGGGCCTTGAGGGTGTTCTCCTCTCCACCCAGCACACCTCTTACCTCTGCTTTGCTGGCGATAGCCTCCTGGCCTTGGCAGTCCTGGCTGAGGGATGGCTTCCTCATGAAAGCCTGTCCTACAGGGGGTCATCCTCTGAGATTTTGTGCCTCCCCAGAGGTCTCTAGGGAATTCCTTACTATAACTGTCCCTTTGCCAGTCACCCTCCCCCAACAGAAAATGAGTCCTTTGGCAGGGACCACTTCTGCACCATTGTGTCACTTGAGCCTGGGAAAGCAGGCGCTGAGGTCAGGCCCCCAAGAGACAGAGTCTAAGGCAAGGAAGCCATGGATGGAGAGTGTACTTGGGGGAATCCGCAGGAGGTAGGGGAAGTGAGGCCACAGACACTGAGCAAAATGGGGCTTCAGTTGCAGTCTGATCTCAGCCTGATCCCCCAGAGAGTTCTGGAACATAAACAGCTCCACAAAATTGCCCCAGGGTGGGTGATGGGGCTCAGTTTTTGTACCTGAATGAGTCAGTCGGCGGGCATTTTCAGGCAATGCGATGCCCTTCAGCAGAAGGCAGTTCTCTGGAAGAGAGCACAGCTACGTTTGCCACCAACCGTCACACAACAGGGGCACGCGCGGGCACCGGGACAGTCTACCACAGTGCCATGCCAGAATTTTTCCAAACAATATTTGTTGATAGCAACGAGCAGAACAAAGTTAGCTATCATTTAGTGGACACTCACCGTGTGCCAGACCTGCATGCTGCTTTTTGCTTGCACACAATCTCAGTCTGTCTCTGCAGCAACCCTGTGGAGCATGCTGGTTGTACAAATGAGGCTCCCCAAGTGCTTCATTTTGGAAAGACCGACATCCAGCAAAGCTAGGTGACTTGCCCAAGATACACAACAAGGAGGCAGAGATGTCAAGGCTCAGACCCACATCTACCTGTCTTTATCCCAGGGGATGATGTGCACGCACAGTAAAGTCTGAGACGCTCTGTCTTAGACCATGTGCGTTGAGATCTCTCTCTCTTTAAATGACTTTTACTCCTGTTATTTCCTCTCACCAGCTCAGTTTTGCGCAGTTTCAGCCTGTGCTAATCTGCAAGGTGATTAAGCTGGTAAAAGCATCTAAACAACACCTTGATCCGGTGCTGCTGCCTTCTCTTCACCTTCCCTTCAGCCGCACACCCACCACAAACACCCAAGGCAACAGACGGCTTCAGGTGCATTTCCTCTTCAGTCCCGGCAGCTGAGTCCTTGGCAGTGGTGACCTCAGGGTTGAGGAGAGAAGCCTCTCACATTCCTGGGCCGCTCCTCTGTTTCCTAACTTCAGCCCGTGGAGACATCCGTGTCAACAACCCTTTGCCGCTCTATCTTTCGTAGGCCCCAGGTCCCAGCGGGATTTGTCCAAATGAGGGTCCGTTTACTCTGCAAACCGCGCTCAAGGTTTTCTGCACACTGAGCAGCTGCTCCCCTGATGTCCGCACCAGCGCCTTGTTTGCTCTGTGTTGTCAGTAAACAGACCGCCCAGAACAAGCCACTGAGCAGGCTCCACGGCCTGGGACCGGAGCAGCAGGCATGTGGAAGTCTCTCCTGGCTTTTCCCTGGCCCATCATTTCAAAAAAAATATACCAAGACATAAAGCATTCATACAAAAGTATCCACAAATGTCTATGTAGGGTGAAAAGAACAACCACACACCCACGAGCGGTAGCCCCTGGGCCTTTGCCCCACCAACTTCCCTTTCCTTGGAAGATGTCTCAGCGAGGCTGCCCGGGTGACTTCACCTCTCTGCAGCTCAGTTTCCTTATCTGTTAGGTGGGGCCAAGAATCCCACTGGGAGGAATATATAAACTAATAATAGAAGGTACTTAGAACAGTGTCTCCTACACAATCAATTCTTAGTAAATATTAGCTTTGGTTTGTCTTTCTGCTGGCTAACAGAGCGCTGAGTTAAGAGGTTTTTTGTGGTGGTGGTGTGTTATTTCCAGTGTTAAGGATCCTTCCAGACAGGAAATCGGTACCTCTCCTTAACAGACGCATAGTTTAGTCAGAGCGGGTCTTGACCCGATTGGGCTTCATACCAATGACAACTGGAAGCCAGAATTTTGCTCTGGTCTCATTTCTGTTGCGCTTCTCCACTTGCGTGTCCAACGCTGCCCCCTCTCACCCCGCCACATTCTGGAGCCCTTCTGTTTTCTCTTCTGAATAGACTCATGTGGAAACATAATATTTTCTGACCCGATAGGAGAATGTTTGCCTGTATCCCCCATTATTCTTATATTTGGGTAGCTCTTTGGGGTTTGCAAAGGGTTTCCTCATACATTATCTTCTTTCATCTTGAAAGTACCATGCAGATATGTGGTGCTAAGCTGGGTCTCCTTGCACCCTCCACGGTAGATTTCCAGGGGCCTTGCCGTCTGAACACAGGGCAGTGCCTGCACAGTTAGCTCTCAGCAGCTGCGAAATCAAGTGGAAGTTAGTGAAAAAGACCCGCACGGGCACGGAGTTAGGCTTCTGTTACCTGCAGAGCCAACGAACAGCCCCAGGCCCACTCCTCCTTAGACCTCGGCCACGAAGGGCTTCTAGCTGCTGCCACACCTGCTGTGAGGAGTGGCCTGAGGAGGCCTGATGGCAGCGAGGGCCAGCAAGGGAGGGGACTTGAGAAAAATCCCAAGTAATTCTTCTTCAGGCAGGAGTGAAAGCCGAGGGACCTGTCTGAGCAGGAGCCTTGTCACAGCCCTGTTCCCGTGCCTAGCCCTAGACATTCTGGTGCCTGGAAGTGCCATTTCCTGGTGAAGGTGAGGAGAGAGTTAGTTTCTACCTGCTGATCCAGATTCAATCAACTCTTGACCTGGTGAGAAACATGCCCAGCCTGTCTGGCAACGACTAGTGCATTTTCCCTGGCTTCCTAGTCCAGGTCTGCCCTGGCGCAGTCAGCCTCTGCTATGTATGAGCCTCCTATTTTATAGGACGGCTTATATTTAGTAGGTATTTCTAGTCACAGCCAAACCCTCCAGGTATTCCTATGCTCATAAGGTGCAGAAAAAAATAGCCACTTCTGTCTGTCTCTTAGGCTCAGGGCTCAGCCTGCTCTAGTCTGAACTTTGTTCGGGCTGTCCATGTTCCTGTCTGTAATGACCAGGAGTGGCAGTGTGTGTGTTTAGCCACAAAGCATCTTGCCAAGGGCTTCCTGGAACAGGTTTCCCACGGGGGTCCTGCTACCTGGCCATCTCTCCACCTGCAGGGGGTGCTGCCAGCCCAGTATTGAATCCAGGAATGGAATCTAACTCTTACCTGGATCAGAACATCTGGATGAAACTTTTGTGAAACAACACCTTCTTCACAAGGTCGGGACAGTACATTCAGCAGTAATTTTCTGGATTGAAACCCTGGGCGGCTAGTTCTCTGGTGCTGAAGTGACAGGGAATTTATTGATTTTCGTCCAATCACGAAATAGTATTGACCCCAATTTTTTATACTCCTGCATTTCCTCCATTAATTTGAAAATTGGTCGGTTTTCCTCAAATAACAGGTTTAGAACATAAAGCTCTGGTTGTTTAGGTATTATGGAGAATAAAAAGGGAAACATTGTGTAAAAACAATGTATTTCATGGGTATTTAAAAAATACAGATTTACAGAAGGAAAACATTAGGAAACATTAGTTAGCTGTTCTGTGGCCAGTTTTTACATTGGCCTAACATGGAATGGAAGAAATTTTGATATCAACAGCAATAAAAGTTTGGTACCAACAACAAAACAAAAAAGCTTAAAAAAACAAAAATGCACCCTCAAGAAGTAACGGAAACATCCAGTGATGTAGAAAACAGACGTAAGTAGAAAGGAAGTAAAATGAGGTATGTGGGAAACAGCTTTGCAAACTAGGAGCTGACATATTAGGGCCAGGAGAGGGGAGTGGTAGTTGAGACACCAACACTTTCTAGGATAAAGGCTAGCCCTGAAAAACAGCTAGCTCTCTGCTGGGAACCCACCCCACACCCCCTGCCACTTCCCCCACCAGGGGCCTCCACTCCCCTTTCAGGCTTCGATCCTCTTTCCTGACTCCCTTCTGATCCATCGCCCATCCTTCTCAATTATTCTCCTGCAAAAAGGCTTCTGCTTTTGTCGCCCACCCATTAGGGCTTTTGGGGGTAGCACAGCCCTTCTGTATTGAAATGTTTCAGTGTCTGTGGCCTCCTTGAGGGGAAGGTGTATGACTGCATCTTCCCAGTGTCTGGCCCAGGGTGGTGAATCAGTGATGTTCAACAAACGCTGTGGACCGCATCTAAACTGGGACCTCCAAAGAAATGTGATCAAGGTTGCGTGGAAGCAATACATTCAGAATCCACTGCTGATGGCTTTGGATAAATTTAAAAATCACACTAGAGGGGGCCCAGTCACCTTACAGCACTTTTGTTTTTTGCATTTGCTTTTAGTTTATAGGTCTCTTTTCCCTTTATTGTGCATAAAGGAGTACTTGGCAGTTAGTCATGCTTCTCTTAAAAATATTTAAATCTATTATATATGGTTTTAATCTTATGTATTTTGCATGATATGTATTTCATTTATTTTACACATTAACTCATTCAGTGTTCTTACTAACTCTATAACTATATGATATTGGCCCTATCTTCAGAAAAGACAACTTAAATTTCACATGCTTAATAAGTAACATGGAAAATATGAGGTATGGAAGTGAATATTTATTTAGAATAAGGCAAGAAATTACAAATTTTAAAAAGCTGACAAATACCATAAGTGCTTCAAAATCCAGGGAAATAAAATAACATTTAAATTAATTTACTACTAATACACTTCTATGACTTTGTCCTTCATTTAAAAAAATGGTAGTACCATATACATAAGATAAAGCTTACTAGTTTTAAGTACACAGTTCTATGGAATTAAGTGCTTTCACACTGCATGCCACCATCACTGCCACACATCTCAAAAACCTTTTTATCCTTCTAAACTGAAACTGCCCCCATTAAACAACTCCACCTTCTCCTCCCGTACTCTCTGGCAACCCCCATTCATTCTACTCGGTGTCTTTGTGAATTTGACTGCCCAAGGTAACGTATATTAGTGGAATTGTGCAGTATTTGTACTTTTGTGACTGTCTTATTTTGCTCAGCATAATGTCTTCAAGGTTCCTCCATGTCATAGCATGTGTCAGAATGTCTTTCCTTTTTAGGGTTGAGTAATATTCCATTGCATGGTTGGTCATCCATTCATGCACCCATGGACACTTGGGTTACTTCCACCTTGTGGCTATCATAAACAATGCTGCTATGAACTTGGGTGTGCAAATATCTGTTCCAGAACCTGCTTTCACTTCTTTCAGGCAAACATCCAAAAATGTAATTGCTGGACCATATGATAATTCTATGGTCAATTGTTTGAAGAATAGCCATACCATTTTCCACAGTGGCCATTTTACATTCCTATCAACAATGCAGAAGGTTTCCAATTTTTCCACATCCTTACCAACACTTGCTATTTTGTTATTTTTTTTTAAGGAATAGCCATCCTAATAGATAGGAGGTGTTTCCTATACTTTTTGACTTCATATTTTTTTTTATCTCTTCTTCATATGTCAATGATTTTCTATTATCATTTTCTATAGAAAGACAATTCAGTCTTTTCTCTAGCATGGTAGTTGAGATTCATAAAATATGTGGCTGTACACAGATAGTCATTGTGCACAATACCATTCTAGACTTGTTTCTTCCAAACACAGTACTCTGATAAACACTTGATTTTCATAAAAAATAAAAATGCATATGATGCATTCAATTTATAGTCTGCACTGTTGAGTATATTCTTGAGAGGAGAGCACCTCTGTTCAACTTAGTATCACTGAGAACCAACTTCTCCATTGAGAATTGTACATGCCTAGTAATTAGAAGTATTTGTGTCCTTTGTGTCCTCCTACTGGACACATCAGTGCAGTGTGAAGTGAACACAATCCTAGAAGTCATTCTTATACCAGGACAGCTGACAATAACTTACCTGTACACGGAAGTGACTACAAACCACAGAGATACATCTCGTCAACCCAAATAAACGTATCCCTACTCAACTTCTTAATAGGATGCCCCGAAGTTCCTATTTCTATTGTAATGCTGCCTAACGCCAGGGGCAATGTGAGTGGTCTGTCTTTTTCTTATTGATCTGTGGGAGTTCTTTATGTATCACTGGTACAAGTCCTTTGTCTGCTCTGTGCTTACAAACACTGTCCTGTACTGTTCGTTTCTTGCCTTTTCACTGTCTTGTTTTTGATGAATGGAAGTTCTTAACATTAATAGAATTCAACCTCTCTATTTCCTTTATGGTTACTGATTTTGGTGTCCTGATTAAGAAAATTTTCCCCAAGGTCAGGAAGATATTTTCCTGTCTCCTTCTAGAAAATAGTGTTTTATCATTCACATTTAGATCATCAATCCATGTGAAATTGATTTGTGTATATGGTGTGAGATAAGGACTGAGATTTGTTCTTTTTTTTTTTTTCTAAATGTGGATGCCCTCTGTGTGTCAGATGCAGTTCTGGGTGGATCAGCCTTTCCGTGTTCTGCATAGAAGGTCACGCCTGGAGAAGGTCACACCTGGAGAAGGTCATGCCTGGAGAAGGTCACACCTGGAGAAGGTCCCACCTGGAGAAAGGGTGACCAGGCACCACCAGTGGGGAAAGGACTCTCCCACTGTTCCCTGGAGCATGAGTTGAGCTAAGGCCGTTTGTGTGTGTTTGTGACTTGGGTGTACATTGGGGACAATCTCCTTTCTCTTTGAGTCAGCCTGCCCAGGAAACACGAGGAAAACCTCCTCTCCAGTCTCTCCCACCCTCTGCACTGGAACCTCTTTCAAAGGCTTTCTTTGGAATTCCTTGAACAAATCGGTTTTGCCAAAGAGGAATCCCCAGGCTGCAGATGGTGGGCCTAGTGTCTTCAGCAGGGCCTGGATGTCCCCACACAGGGCAGGGCCGAGGTAGCCCGCGAGGGGACCTATCTGCTTCATGGTCCCCAGCTGATCTCGGGGCAAGCGGCTGAGTGGAATTTGGGTTTGCCTGGAGGGCTGAAGGTATAGAATCAGGCTGGGGTGTCTCTGTGGTCCCGGCACAGCTGAGCCCCTCTGGGGGAGTGTGGCAGACATGCTGTCCAGGTGAACCCCTGAGGATTGCCAGAGGGCCCCTCACCCCTGGGGGCGGGGGAGGGCATGCTGATCCTGACCCCAGGCACATTCAGTCCTGCCGTCTTATTCCCCAGCCCTGTCAGAGCAGCCAGCCTGCAGCTGCGGGGAACCAGACGTTAGCAGTGGGAAGGCCCCGCGCTCCCTGCCCAGCCAGCAGCTGGCTGGAAGGCCTCTCTTAGAAGACGGGTACCTGGAGGTGGGGGTGTGGGGGAAGGAAGACAGTGGGAGAAAATCAAACAAAGGAAGACCGCTGTAAAACCAGCAGCATGCCTGTAATCACGAAAGCCCTTTGTTTAGAGCTGGTTTAAACAAGCTGTGGCCCCGTGGAAGGGGGGGCCATAAACTGAAGTGAAAATAAAAGTGTTTACAGCAAGGGGCAGCAAGGGGCTGCAGGTTCGTTTGGCCAGGATCAGTGGGGGGGCTGTGGGGGCCGCAGCCCGGCCCGGGCTCAGAGAATGGGCTTCCGAACACCACAGACTCCAAAGCAGATGAAGAGGTGGGGAGTTAGGGGGCAAGTGCCCCCCCGCGGTCCTACATTCCAGCCTGGGGGAGAGGGAGGGCAGGGTGCCAGGTCTTTGGGACACCTAGAGAGTCATCGCCAGAGGCCGGGAGATATTCAAGTCAGCTTCCCCCCCTGCAAATTCCTTTGTAATGGACTTGAGGGGGTGTACTAATAAGAGGGTTGCAACCAGTTGTTTTCTCGTAGGCCCGACTTATCAGCCTGGAAAGGTGTGTAGGGAAGTTGCACCCGAGGGAACGGCATTCCTCAGGGGAGCCTTCCTGCAG